AAAAAAATAAAGAAGAAAGAAGATAACAAAAAATATAAAGTGTTATCGTATAAAAAGAAGAAAATAGGGGTTTTGGTTGGTGTCTTGTCGACAATTGGATATCAACTTGAAGAATCTACAAAAAAAAAAAAATAAAAAAGTGAGAACACGTCTTCACTGTGTGTCCGGAAGGATTTTGATAACTTTGTCTATAAGTTTTGCCAGTGAATTCTTGATAAGAGGACACTTAGGAAGAAGAAAAGAGGAAAAAAAAAAGAAAAAGCTTCTCCTATTTTTTTTCTTCTTCTTCTTCTTCTTCTTCTTCTTTCTCTTACTTTTTATTTTGTGGAATAACGTCAACGTGACTCTAACTTTCAGATACTTTTAAATCTTTAAGAAGAAAGAAGAAAGAAGAAACAAGAATATATATATATATATAAATAAAAAAAAAAAAAAGTAGAAGAACAAGAATAAAAAGAAGTTTCATTATTCTTGAAAGAGCATACGAGAAGAGAGGATTTCTTACTTTGCCAAGTTGGCAAAACCTACTCGTTGATTCTAATTTCGAATTCTATTGGGAAAGATTGAACCAGACTATCCCTGAGGAAAAATAATTCTTCCTCTTCTCTCCCTCTCTCTCTCTCTCTCTTTATATCATTCTATCTTTCTCTATCTCATATTCTATCTCACATTTTATCTATCCAAAATAAAAAATATCATCGTGAATTTTCATTAAAACTAATAGTAATAGAGGGGGTACTAAAGAAATGTCATTTATATAACCAAAATTATTTAATATAAATAATAATAATAATAATCATCAATTTGGATTATAATCCATGTATGACCAATTGATTCAAATTTCTAGTTAAAAATATCACTGTGTGAATTGATATTAAAATTAATGGGGAGATTATTAGAAGAAATATCATTTATATAACCAAACCTATTTAATATAGATAATAATAATAATAATAATAATCATCATCATCATCAATTTGGATTACAATCTATGTATGACCAATTGATCAACACAATTTCTAGTTAAAAATATCACTGTGAATTTTCATTAAAACTAATGGGGAGGTTATTAGAAGAAATATCATTTATATAACTAAACCTATTAAATATAAATAATAATAATAATCAATTTGGATTAATCCATGTATGACCAATTGATCAAAATTTGTAGTTACTGGTAACTTTACCTATTTGATACAATCCTATTATAGTCATTAGTATTATCTGTATTATCATCATAATAATCAGGATCAATTGTACTTAAGTCTGTAAATCCAGCCAATCGCAATACACTCTCTGTGTGACTAGATTGACGAAGATTGTTTACTATTAGAGAAGCCTAACCCAACTAATTCTAAGCCTAACTACGTTTACGACGATTACTACTACGACTACGACTACGACTACGACTACGACTACGACTACAACTACGAATACGACTAGGCAGGCACTAGGCACCTAGGACAACGACAAAGGTTGCTGCATCTTGTGAGCATGGCATAGAATATGCGATGATCGATGAGCCGTCTAACGGTTGAACGATAATCGCTTTAACAACCCTGATGTCTCTCATCCTCTTTTCACGTTAACTATCCTCCACCCACCTCGTCTTCTTTCTCTCTATCACCAACTCGTCCCACATCCTAGGTCTTCCTATAATCTAACTACTTTTTGACATAATCGTTCCTGTCCTACTAYTATTATTATTAAAACGTAAAAAGATAGAAAATGAGAGAAAGAAGGTTACTAAAAAATTACTAAATTACATCGAGGACTATCGTAATTTATAAACAAAGAGATAGAAAGTGAGTGAGAGAAAGAAAGACAGAAAGTTACCAAAAAGTTACCAAAGAATTATTAAATCACATCGAAGACTATCATAATTATTTCAAACGTAATTAATAAACAAAACTATAGAAAGTGAATGAGTGGAAAAAAATAAAATACAAATTATCAAAAAGTTACCAAAGAATTACTAAATTCAAGAATTGAACTTTCTGAACCAATTTGAGGTATTTGGAAAATATTTCCTAGTCTCATGATTAAATACATTTTTTTGATAAGTACGTATTATTAATTAAAAATAATATAAAAAAAAGCAAAAAGAAAAGAATTATCATTTCTTCTACGATATTTTCGTGTCGTATTAGTAAAAATTAATATATATATATATATATACATATATACTGTGTGTGTAGTTACATATATATTATATATATGTGTGTGTAAATGTGAATTCATTCATTTAACTTTGAATTGAACTGACCGTAGGGATGTGTTAATGACAAGCATCCTTGTTACGAAAGGGTCAACGAATAGGAAATAATCGATAATTCGATATTCATCGCAAATCGTTTCGCGAGTTGTTTTCGTACATACATACACACACACACACACAGGATAGAAAACAAAGAAGAAGAAGAAGAAGAAGAAGAAGGATAAAAATTAACTTCGATGATTTTTATATAAAAACATTATTTAAATAAAAAAAGAAAGAAAATGTGTGAGTTTGAGTGTTAAATTAATTTCAAGTGACAGCAAGTGTTATTTTCGTTAGTGGCACAATTATACTACGTGGAATAATGATATCTTGGAAATGAGCCTAAGATAGTATATATATACATATATATATAATATATATATATATACATATGTTATATATACGTATCTATATTATACACAACGAGATGTCCGATATGTGAAAACAGCCTCGGCCTTGAGGAAAAGAGATGTCTACTTCTCTTCGCATATTCTTCACTCTTATCATTTCTTTTGGTAAGTATTATATTTATAATAATATAATACATATATATTTTAAAATATATATGTATATGTAATTTCTTTTTTTTTTTAAATGACCTAAAATTCTTTTCTTATTTAATAATGTTTAATATGACAACAAACGTGACAAATAATATAACGTTGATTTTATTGTATTTTTGTTATATTTCATCAAATCTATTTAATAATAAAAATATTACTTTTAATTTATATTCAATTTATTTCATAAGAAATATATTATATTTATTATTTAAATTAAATTATATATTATATTAATTAAAAAAATTATTATTTCTAATCAATCAAATTCTATTGAAATAAATTCATTTTTTTTTGTTTTTTTTTTTTTGTTTTTTTGTAAAATTGCATAATTTCTCTGCTTTTGAATAAAATACAACTTTTAAACGATATTTGTATGAATAAGAACTAATGTAACTTTTATCGATTCATTTTAAAATAAATCGTTCAAGTAAAATATCTTAGAAATGTTCTTGCCACGACTAAGATTAATGCACTCGTTGAAACTGACTGAGTGAACATGACGATCGCAGAAATTGCTTAAAAATTTTTGATCGAGATGAAAGGAATAGTATTCATCTTCAATACTATATGTACATATATCTATATATATACTGTAATTTTCATACGAACAATTTTTTATATTGAATATCAGTTTTGTTCGTTTGTTTATATATAATTAATTATAATAATAATTTAATAATAAATATTAATCAATTATAATAATATAATTTATTATTAAAAATCTAGTTAAAACACACGTTCCGTGTCAAACCCTTTTTACCTGAACAAAATCAATCATTACATGTAATTATTAACTATTGTATATACAACAATTAAACAAACTTATGTACTTTATTTTATATTATGTTTATAATATTTTAATAGGAATATTTTTTGTATAGAATTAAATTTATTATAAACATATATTTTTTTGAGTACATCAAATAAATATGTGTAATGATACGTGTACCACCGATGGTACACATGGCACAGAACGTGTTAATAATAAATTATTTCGTTCTTACAAAACATTGTAGTTAAAAGTATTCATAGGGTTAAAAAAAATACTTTCTGTTTTTTTTTTTTTTTTTTTTTTTTTTTTAACCAAATTAGAATTTGATTAGAACCTAATGAAAGTATTAAAACGATATGTTCTAAGAGTATTATAATATATCAAATAGGAACAATGTTAATGAACTATCCTTTCGATATCGATAACACCATTGAATCTTTTATTAACGATATACATACGCCAAGACACGTTAATATCTAATTCCTAAGGGCTGCATTACTTAGCTGGAAACTTAGTCCTTAGGGAATATTAGAAGTTACGGTCCATTAACGCCTTAGCAAAGATTCACTACTTTACGATAATGCACTTGCTCATTAAACGCAAAACGTATACCTAATCTTTCTAATAATATCATATGAATGATAATTATTCAAATTTATAAAGAATAAATATTCATTAACTATAATAATTTATTTTATTATTATTTTTTTTTTTTTTAACTTGATTTTATTCAATTATTTTTCACTTTGAAAAAATCAAATATCATTTTTATATCGATAAATAAATCTATGCAAGAGAACAAAAAAAATTAAATAGATTTTAAATATCAAATATTTTTCATCCCCTTAACGATCATTTGTTTTTCTTTTTTTTTTTTAACTTTGTTTATTTTATAGATTTAAAATATTAAATATTTTTAATCCCCTTAACTATATATAGTTTAAAAATTAAATTATTTTTTTTATTTTTTATTTTATAGATTTGAAATATTAAATATTTTTCATCCCCTTAACTATAATAAGCGTTTTAATCATTTTTATTTTTTTATTTTTTTTAATTCTATTTTTCACGATACAAAGTTTTTGTTATTAAACATCGCGTATAGAAAAAAAAAAAGCAAATTAAAGTTTGCTTTCGAAGAGAGAGAGAGAGAGAGAGAGAGAGAGAAAGTAAAAACAATAAATCGAGTATGAAATTAAATTTAAGTATACAAAAGGGATGAGTCACGAAACGTGACGTTTGAAAATAACTCGTAAAATATATTATACATTGTACGAAAAAAAAAATGTGTTTCCTGTATAATTAAACTAAATTAGAAAACCAATAATATAATACTAAAACAAAACTTGTTTTTTTTTAAGATAATTTTTCTAAATGGAATTATGACTAATTATTTTTTTTTTTTATGGATTCTAATGAAGCATCAAATTCTACAAAAAAAAAAAAGATAAAAAAAAACAAATATCATAGTATGCAAAACTTAAAATAAATAATTATTAACATAAATTTTTTAAATGGTAATATATATATATAATATATGGTACCATATATACCATAATAATGGTATATATATATAAGAATATAAGAATAATAATAAAAATGACTATTTTCTTGTCTTTTTTTTTTTTTGAAGTATGAATTAAATATATTTCTATAACATGAAATGAAATTCATCAAATTATGAAAAAGAGCCTTTAAGAAATGTATGACAAAGAGAATGTGCAATTAGGTTGAAATAATTGAAAAAGATAATAATTTGAGTAAAAAAGAAATATGAACATTAGCTTACGAAATATAATAAATTAGAATAATTAGTCTTATCACTTACATTTTTCATCACACGTACCATTATCTCAATTAGAGTTTGTTGAAATTGTCTATCATTAGTTGATAATTCAAATTTTGTTAAATTAATGTTGACGTATAAAAACAAGATTTTCATTTGTTCACTTTTATTTATTTATTTATTTATTTATTTAAAATTAATTGAAGAAAATTGACCAAACCATAATGTCAATTATTCATCACAGACGAACATTTTCCAACTAAACTTAGGTCAAGATTTTGAAATATTTCTTTCGTGAACTATTCTAACTCCCGCCCATTCCCCCACTTTTTTCCTTGAGTGATTTTTCAAAAAAGAAACATCATTGGTTCGTTATTGGATAAATATACTAACCCTTAAAAACTGATTGGTTTAAGTGAGTTATTTTATACTTTTCAAAGTTGCGACCTGAGTGATAGTAACTTTTCAGAAGTGTTCAGAATTTGTAGAAAAATGTGTTTGATTTATGGTTGAAATAAACTGCTTTTTAAATAAATTATGTTTCTAGGAATATCTTAAATTACATATAATTGAGAAAAAAGAACGAGTCGGAAAAATTCGTTAGTGTTTCATAAACAAAACAAAAAAATAACTATGACGAAGGATGAAGATTCGTTAAAAATTGTAAAATAAGATTTTTACAAACATAAATCTTTCTCTCATGTTGCACAAACCTGACCTTTGACCAAAAAAAAAAAAAAAAGAAATATCTCATTTAAATAATTAAAAAGATAAACCTTTCTTATGTTGCACAAATCTGACCGTTGACCAAAAAAATATCGCATTTAAATAAATAAAAAGATAAATCTTTCTTATGTTGCACAAACCTGACCTTTGACAAGAAAAATATCTCATTTGAATAATGAAACATTCGTAGGATGTAACAGTAGACAAAAAAATTAAATTAAAATAATTCTTTCTATATATCCAAAATATTGAAATAAAAAAAAAAAAAAAGAAGTAATGTCAAGTATAATCAAAAAATTAAAATAAACAACGAACAAAAAAACTACAATAAAGATTGAAAAAAAAAATAAATAAATAATTAGGTTAATAGTACAGATGACCTTATTTTAATGAAAATAATAAACATTTTGACGATAAAACAATACATTATCATAAATGACTAGAATTAATATAAAGATATAACGTTAAATGTATTTTTCTATCGTCAAAAAAAAATTATTTATCGAAAATATTTATGTTCTATGTACGAAATATATTTTTAAAAAACGAACCAGAAAGCTTAAGTAGTATAACCACCGGTAAAAAACAAAAAACATTAAAATAAGTCGATTGTAATAAAACAAACAATAGTATTTAATATATTACAACGATAATACAGATGGCCTCGTTAGAATGAAGATAATAGGTGTTTCGTAGATAGGAATATACTAGAAAATTCGTTGAAAATTTACGACCAGTTATCATCTTACGGCAGGGTACTACGTTCGTGCCAATAACTCGTCCTGTGAAAGGGATGGGAGTTGGTTGGGGGATGGGTGGGTGGATATACATGGAAAAGATAAGGTGGGAAGGGAGAGAGGAGAAGTTAGGTTTGGTAAGTGTGAAAGAAGGATAGAAAACTAAAGCACATTGTAAGGGTACCATACTTGTACTAGTATTAGTAGTATTATTAGTATTAGTGCGTAATACTAAACATATACATAATACATACTATAAATAAATATATAAATAATATACATACAAAAAAAAAATATATATATATATATATATATAATAATAATATATATAATATTATATATTACTTATATTATAATGTTATATTATATTTTATTATAAATTAAATTTATATTATATCTATATTATACTATAGTAGAGAGAGTATAATATTTTATAAACAATAAATATTCTCTATTTTATTTTAAAATTTATATTATATATTTATATACTATATTTATATTATACTATTTTTAGTAGTATATTTAGTAATATATTTAGTAGTATACATATTATACTATATTACAGTAGTATAATATTTTATAAAAAAAAAATACTATTTTATTTTAAAATTTATATTATATATTTATACTATATTTATATTATACTATTTTTAATAGTATATTTAGTAGTATATTTAGTACTATATT